TGACACCGCGGATCTGCGTGAGGGGTGGCGCCGAATTTCAGAAATGTGGCAACTCCCGTGTGTTTTTGGACCCTGGCCCCGCGGATCTGCGTGAGGGGTGGCACCGAATTTCAGAAATGTGGCAAATCCCGTGTGTTTTTGGACCCTGACCCCGCGGATCTGCGTGAGGGGTGTCGATTTCGAGCCCCCCCAGCAATTCAGACAACGCGCCCAGGAGACGCTAAAAGTTTAGTTTGGGCTTCCCCCCCCCTCGCGCGGTCAATCAACTAGTTGCAGTAATCAGCAAGAAGTCAACTAGTTACAGTAACCAGCAAGAAGCAGAACTGTAACACTGGAAACTACAAGCTACAACTGGTACTGGAAACTGCGAACCCGCGCCTACAGCCTGGTGGCCCCACAAGGGGGCCGGCGGATTCCAAAGCGTCAAACATCATGACTTCGAGGTTCGTATATGAGTGGAAGCTCGTAAAGAACGAATAGGGCTATATGGAAAGCACCATCGGACTACGCCTGGTACTTCGGGGTTTCATGGACCCTGAGGCTTTCGACGTGGAAACATTCTCGGGAACAGCGCGGCGGTCAAGTCAGCGATTGCTCGCAAGCGCGGCAGCGTGCATGAAGCAATGGGCCATTGCTTTCCTTGACATCAACATGGCATTCCTGGAAGGGTTAATCTGTCAGGAACTTGCTGAGGCAACCGGTGAGAAGGAACGCGCGGTGTGCTTTACCTTGCCGCCTGGATCAGCATCGGTGCTTCGATCTCTCCCAGGATCCGAGCACTACGATGAGTCGAAGCACTGCTTGCAGTGCCTCAAGCCAGGCACCGGCACCAAGGATGCACCCAAGGCCATCTCACTGAAACTCGGAAGGACCACGAGGGGCTTTGGTCTCATACCCACGTCCTACGACGAGGAGTTCGAGACAAGCAGTTGCCTTCTCACCGCCAAGCATGTTGATGATATCAATATGGCCGGCGCTGAGGGCGCCGTCGTCGACAGGTGCGTCAAGTGCGTCGAGGACACTTTTGGTACGTGTAAGCTTAACGAACACACATATACCAATTGTGCTGTGGGATACACAGAGGATGGGGACGGTGATGCTACACTGGGCCAAAATGGATACATCAAACAACTCCGCCTTATACAACAGCCAGAACAACGTGTCCAAGAACCGACCCATGTACAGGTGCGACGACTGAACACGATTACCAGGAAGCTGCAGGCCTGCCTTAAGAAGATCGTCTATCGATCGATGACTCCGACGGGCGAAGTTGACCTGCATAGCGGCTCCGGCTATCGACGCCGGAGTGGAGATGCCGATGGCGAGGTCAGAGGCTACGGTTTTCGCGGGGCAAACCTGCTACGGCGTGGAAACGCGCCAACTGTTACGCCTGTCGTCCATTTGATCGATGCGCACTGCAAGTCTCGTCGCTTTCAAGTCCGCTCAAGCTACTCAGCAGCAGCACTAGCAGCTGCCCGCGACTTGGAGGACTGCTACCCCACGATCGTTACTCTGCACGAACTCCACGCACGGCCACTGACACCTACTCAGTTGAAGGATATACTGGAGATGGGTGGCCTGAGCATTAAGATTACTTTGACCATGGATGCTGAATATGTCTTCAAGTCCTTGTCAAGCAAAGACTTGAAGAAGCCGGCTGACTTACTCTTTTGGGTCACACCAGTTGGATACGACAGATAATGGAGCGAGGGATCGTGCACAGTATCCAGTGGTGTGACACTCGCGGTATGACCGCGGATGGTCACACAAAGGGGAGCATAGACACAGATATGCTCTTACAGATCATGGCAGGAGCGCAATCCTTCAAGCATGGCTTAAAGCGTCATGCTCCGTACCGGGCCGGCCAGACAATATCGTCTGCCGCCTGAGTAGCACTCGCTTGCGCATCGAGCTGCTCGCAAGGCAACTTGTGCGCAAGGGTACTTGCTTGCGGGTTCACCCGCCTTACGAAGCCGCCTTTTGCTGCCTTTTGTATAGAGAGTGTTTATTGTATAAGGGGCGGCGGACTCACGCTTCGTCTCCCTCTCCTCCCGATTCTAGAGTGAGCTGGGACAAGGGCGAGAGATAGCGAGCGTTTGTCCGTGGCCGCTCGGGCTCAAGCGGCCGGCCGCCAACATGTGACTGTGCATCATTGCGAGGCATACTAGATACCGAAAACATCCTTCGTTTGAGATGACCCGTCGCTCCCACGACGACCTCCTCCGACACGGACTGTCGTTACTACGGTACAACAGAGCTGGAGCTGCGCTTCGCCTAGGGCGAAGCTTCTGGTCGGGCCTCCCGGCCTCCTTCAAACTGGTCTACCGTGCCACTGTGCCTTCGGCCCATCCCGCCACCGTGCCTTGGTTGTGTGTCGGATAGTTATTGGGGCCCTCTTGGCCCATCTTTGTTTTTTTTTGGGGGGGGGCCTCGAGAAAGTCATGGGGGAAAGCGCACTGGGCGCGCCGGGAACCTTGGGAGATTTGAGAATGTGGGCTCTGGGCCGTATGCAAAATATATTCAGGATTGAGGTGTGGGGCTCAGGGGATTTAGCAAAGGACCTAACGGTTCTTCAACTCGTGGTTCGCAGGCAGAGTGACGGATGGAATAATGGTTGTGTGTGTATGTGAGAACAGGTCACGCCAGTCCAGTTTCCCATGTTTCGCCGTCCTGGGCCATGCTTTGCCATGCGTTGGCGAACGCATGTGGGAAAGCCTCGAGTCTGGCGACCTCTTGCTGGCATGCCGGATGGCTACCTTTCAGGGCCCTTCCAGGTCCCCAGGGGTGTCAGACAGATGAAGAGCTGGTCCTGGGGGATTGCCCAGGCATGAGATGTCCAGATTTTTTTCGGTTCGGGCGCCCCAGAAGTCCCGACCCTTTCCCCAAGAAGAGCTTTTCATTCCGATCCGTCTTTGACGGTCCCAGGGCCCTGCGAGGCCCCCTGGAGACCGAAAACGGCCAAAAACTGCCCGTCGTGATTTTTACAGACGCGAGCATGTTTGGGTTTTGGGACCCCCAAGAGATGCCGACTGGTTTCCACCACGTCGGGGGCGCCGTGGCCGACCGTTTCGGGAGGCCGTGGCGGTTTCGAGGTGTCGTCGGCAATCGACGTGTCATCCAAGCCTCTGGTGCCGCCTCCAGCTCTGGACGCCAACTGGCAGGGCATGGCTGAGTAGCCTTAGCCTGGCCTCCGGGGGCCAGATTTTTATCCATGCCCCCAGCCTTGCCCCCCGTGAGGTTGTGGCGTGAGCAGGGTTGGATTCCCGTTTAGGGGACCTTCCTGGGGGCCGCCGAACGGATCTGTTCGACTCTAGTTCGACCCCAGTTCGACTCGAGTTCGACTGAGGCTGGACTTGAAGTTCGACTCGGGCTCGACGCACGGCCGACTTTGATCGACGGACGGTCGCCGCAGCTCCGACGCACGAGTGGAGCGAGTGCCTCCGGGAAGGTCCCCGGAATGAGCATCCGAGCAGGGGCACGGATAACACGTGCATCGCCCACGCATGGCATGGCCTGCCGGGGCGGGGCCGCCGCCCCTCCGGGCCGCCGCCGACGTCGACCGCTCGTTCGCGCGCGCACGCGTTTTTCTGTTGTTGCCGCGGGCTCCAAGCGGCCGCACGGCCGTGGCTCGCCGAGAGCGTTCCGCCACTCGCGAAGTCCCTGCTCGCCAATGCCAGAAAAGAACGTGTCGTCCTCCACGCAATGGCTTTTGAATCCTAGGCGGCGGATCCGGGCCGTTTGCGAGTAGCTACTTTGCGAGTAGTGGAACGCGCTTGTCTAGTGGCGGGAAATACTCGCGGGAGGAGGAGGAGGAGGCAGGAGGAGGCCGTTGGTCAGCATTGCCTCCTCTTCCTCCTCCTCGCCGAGCTCAGCCTCAGCCTCGTCCTCGTCCTCAGCCTTTCCATATCCACGGCATCGCGGGCCTGGCGCCTGTGCCGCGAGCCCACTGATACGGGATCGCTCTCTCGCAGATGCCCCGCGCGGAACGTATCCATGCGACCGCGTGCTCACGGCATCGCGCCCCAGGATGCAGACCGCGAGGGCGTGGACATGGATACTCCGGGCTTCTTAATAAGCGTGGGGGGGGTACCCCCCCGACGGGGGTCAGCCTCGCCTCGTCGTCGCTCCGCGACGGGGGTCGGAGCGCCTTCGGCGCGCAGTGGCTGCCCGCGACGGGGGTCGATGTGGGGCTGTCGGCGGGGGTGACGCCCCCTCGACGCTGATCAATCTACTCGGAGTACCTATACGACCACCCTTCGTGTGATATGGAGGTTCGGGGGGGGGGGAGGAACCAACGTCTCACTCGATCGGTCTCACTATCGATCTCACTATCAATCTCACTATCGGTTTCGCTCGATCGATCTCACTGGATCGATCTCACAATCGATCTCACTCGATCTATTTCATTCGATCGATCTCACAATCGATCTGATTATTGATCTTACAATCGATCTCACTATTGATCTCACTATCGATCTCACAATCGATCTCACATTCTGTCTCACTATCGATCTCACTATCGATATCACAATCGATCTTACAATCAACGTCATAATCATCATCATCAACATCATCGTCATCAACATCATCATTATAATCATCATCAACATCATCATCATCATCATCATCATCATCATCATCATCATCATCATCATCATCATCATCATCATCATCATCGGGACACCGACGGGATACCGGCGGGACACGGGCGGGACACCGCGCCCCACCGGCCCCCAGAAAGGAAACATTTGGTCCGGCCGCGCCTCAGCCGGAGGCGGGACACCGGCGGGAGACCGCGCCCGACCAGCCCTCGGAAAGGAAACATTTGGTCCGGCCGCACCCCAGCTGGAGGAGATTTTTTTTTTTCGCCCGCCCACGCAGCTTCGCCTCGCCCGCAGGCACGGCACGGAACACGAAGCCGAGACCGATTTCCCGGTAGGGGGGCTCTCCGTTCCACTTCGATCTCCCCCCCTCACCTCCGATGCCCGCCGACGACCAAGGCCCTCGGGTGCCCAGAGCCCAGCTCGCTCCCGTACAACTGCTACCTGGGCCTCGACACGTGGGAAGGCCCACGCCGGTGCTTCGCGCGGCAGGGCCGTGCCGTGCTTCGACGCTGCGGCGGCCCCAGCGCGGGCTTTCAAGGTTGAAGTCCGCCTCTGACCCAGAATCGGCATATACATACATATATATATATATGTTCTCTGACCCAGAATCGGCACATACATACATACACACATATATATATATATATGTATGTATGTATGTATGTATGTATGTATGTATGTATGTATGTATGTATGTATGTATGTATGTATGTATGTATGTATGTATGTATGTATGTATGTATGTATGTATGTATGTATGTATGTATGTATATATGTATATATATATATATATATATATATATATGTATGGAGTCCTACTTTCACACGTACATGCATGTGCACGCATACGCCGTCGTGTGCCAACGCCAAAGTGTATCCTCTTCTCTGCTCGAAGTCATGTGGCCACTTGGGCTCAGGCGCTCGGCCGTTTCAGGATATCGGTTGGGCGCTGAAGCTGGCCCTTGGGCCTTCGCCTTCGATGCCGCGCCGCGGCGGATCCGAGGAGAGTGTCTCCCTGGCGCCAGCGGTGGATAACCACAATATGCTTCCGTTTTCAAACCAGCTTGTCGTCCACCGTGGGGCCGTCTGAGGCCATGGCCGTGTGTGCGCTATTCTGTCCGTAGCTTTTTCGCTCAAGCTCTTTTTGGACGACCCGCGCATGTCGCCCTCAGTCCAGTCTGGCATCCTCGGGGGCGCTCGCGTCTTCAGCAATCTCGCGTAGATAGCGCTCCCCTGTTTCTCGTCGCTGACGGGCCAGGCCAGGGATTGCGTGGTGGCCGTCTCCGCGCTCTGGGTTCTGGACAACTCGAACAGTGTTGTGGAGACGCTCGGCGTTCGGCGCAGGGGCGCGAAACGGGATGGCGGTTCCGACTGGGTGCCCGCCCCGCTGGTGAGCGTAGACGCGATCGACTTCGCGGCGGACCCGCGGCCCGTGCCGACGACGCGTCTCCGCGGGAAGCCAGCGGTCACAGCAGCCACAGCGACGGGGACAGCAGCCGCGGGAGCTCGACTTCTTGAAATCGGGGGCCGGGGCTTGCCGGCGCTGAAACCTCTAGAGTGGTGCGCGGTGTCATTTTCATGGGGCGCCCCGACAGGCCAGCGGCTGGCTGCAGGCACCCTTGGCGGGTACTGCCGCGCTGGAGAGTTCGCCGTTGGCCGGCTCGATGGCAAGGCGATGTTCTCCCGAGCCTTGGATCTCAAGAGCGGCGGCACGCAGCTCGATATGGGCGCCCGCATCTACCCGGCCAATACTCGGCCCGCGGTGAGCGGAAGCGGCTGTTCAATGAGACGGTCGAGATGTTGTCTGAGACGCCGTGGGACAACCGGCCCATGCTGGGCCCCAGGGCCGCGGCCTGGTCTCTTCGCTCTACAGCTGCGAGCAGGGCTGCCGCCCCCGGGCCCAACGCACCAAGTGGCTCCACGAGATGTGGCTGACCGTGGCGGGCCGGGGGGGGCCAATCATGGGATGGCGATGCGTGCTTTCGAGTTCGGGCTCTGCTACGACCAGGGCGAGATTGGCGAGGTGGCGGCGTTCGAGGTGCTGGCCCGACGGGCGCAGATGGCGGAGTGGGGGTGCCGCGATCGACTGGTGCCTCGCCAGGTCGACGAGACGCTGGATTGCGAGCGTCTGCACATGGGCCCCGGGAAGGCCGGGGGGCTCACCATGGTGGCTCCCGCGCTCGTGGAGCACAATCCGAACGAGGACGCGCTGCTAGAGTGCCATCATGAAGGAGAAGATGAAGCTTCGAGAGGAGCGTCAGCTCGCTCGAGGAGGAGGTGGCGTGAGCAGCGACACCCAGGAGACCTTGCAGAGGAAGGTCGAGTCCCAGGCCGCAGAGCTTCGCCGACTCCAGGCCCGCCAGGACGCTGCCGGCGACCAGGCGAGTGGCGGCGGCCGCGGTGGCGGCCGCGGTGGCCCGTGACCGAGCGACGCCAGTGCCCCGGGATCTGCTTCCTGCGTCGATCCCGGGGCGTGCGGGCAGCGAGGGGAGCTCCTCTTGCTGCCGGGCGGTGCGCTCGCGCGCGCGTCGCCGGTCGTTCGTCGACTCCTGAACGGACGAGGTCTTCGCGGCGCTGAACTGCCTGTGTACGGGCGCCGGGGCGGACCTGATCTCGGCAGTGGGCAATGTTTTGGCGATCAGCAGGTTCGGGATGCTGTTCAAAGGATCGCCCCTCGGACATTTCAGGCGCGGCAGCCTTCCGAGAGCTGCGCGCGTCTGCCCCTGGGTGCCTCTCCGAGCCCCAGAGGCCGGCCGCCTTCAAGCGCGAGTTTGTCGCGTTGCCGACCCCGGGCCCGAAGCGCAGCGGTGCTGAGCTGCTGCAGGGGGGGGCGCTTGATCTACGGGGGGGCCGGCGTGAGCGGCCGTCGCAGTCTCGACCCCTTGGCGAGCCGGTGAAGCCGCGCTGCGGCCCCGAGCTCATGCGCAGCAAGACGTCCTTCGCAAAGTTCGTGGGTGACTTGTTGGACGCTGGCGCGGTGGGCCTCGGTCCACCCTGCGAGGCGACGCCGGGGGCATTCTTCGCGCCCGAGGGCTCGGGGGCGCTCCGGCTGATCCTCGTCGCGCGGCGGGTGGGCCAGTTTTTCGAGCAGCCAGCGCGCGCCTCGCTCCCCGCGGCTGGGGCGCGGCGAGGCATGTGCGCCCCCTGGGGCGAGGGGCTGAACCTTGCCCAGGTGGATGTCGAGGCGTGTTTCTACCGCGTGGCCCTCCCCGACGGTCTCTCCGATTTCTTTGTCCCCCCAGAGGTGGATCTCCACGCCGTGCGACGTGCGCGTCCTGATCTCGGATTTCCCGAAGGAGGAGTGGCCTCGCCCCGTCGACTGGTGGCCTCGCCCGCGGGCTGGAGCTGGTCGCTGTACTTCTGCCGGGAGATCGTAACCCAGTGCGTGCTCCGGAGCGGCTTCTCGCCCGACTCGTTGGTCGAGGGCCGACGGGCGGCCCCGAGTTTAGCTGGGTCCGCGGCCGCGGCCATCTACGTCGACGGGGTCGCCGTCACGGGCGCAGACGCTGCGGAGTGCCTGCGGGGCTGCATCCAGGGAAGGGAAACCTAAGAGCAGCGCGGCCTGCTGACCGAGGGGTTGTCGAGCCGCGCAGCGAGCGCGTGTTCGCGGGCCTGACCTTCCATTGGGCCAGCGGGCGGTTGTCCCTTTCGCGCGCTCGCCTGTGGGGGAATCGGCGGGCGCTCCCTTCGCCGCCGAGTCCGAGGCTCTGACGGGCGGGCAGGTCAGGCAGCTGCACTCTTGGGCTTCTCTGGGGCCATCCTGGAGGCTCCTTGGGCGTCCATGGGGCGATATTTGGGGGCTCTTGGGCCGTCTCGGGCCTCTGGAAGTCCGGGAAGACGCGCGTGCTAAAATCTGGGGAAAAACTTAAGGACAATCAATGATTTTGGCTTCTTCCGGCTTTCCTGGGGGCTCTCTTGGAGGCCTCTTGGGCCGTTCTGGGTTATCTTAGGGTCATCTTCGGCCGTCTTGGTGGGCTCCTGGCCCGTCTGACGCCGTCGGAAGTCGTCATGGGGGCCTCTCTTGGCCGACTTGGGGCCCTCTTGGATTGTTCTAGGGCCGTCTTGGAAACTGTCTTGGGCGTCTTGGAGGCCTCTTGGGCCGTCGTTGGACCCTTTTGGGGCCGTCTTGGAGGCCTCTTGGGCCTCTCTGTGGCCATCTTGGCCTCTTGGGCGATCTTTGGGGGCTCTCGGGCCGTCTCGGGCAGTCGGAAGGCCGAAACAAGCAGATGCCAAAATGCCAGAAAAAAAACCAATGGGGAATCAGTGATTTTCGCCTCTTCGGGCTTTCCTGGGGGCTCTCTTGGAGGCCTCTTAGGCCATCTTAGAGCCATCTTGGGCTGTCTTGGTGGGCCCCTGGCCCGTCTGACGCCGTCGGAAGCCGTCTTGGGGGCCGACTTAGAACCTTCTTGGGGTGCTCCGGGGCAGTCTTGGAGGCTTCCTTGGGCGTCTCAGAGGCCTCTTGGGCCGTCTTTGGGCCCTCTTGGGGCCGTCTTGGGGGCCTCCTGGGCAGTCCTGAGGCCGTCGTGGAGGCCTCCTGGGCGCTCTGGGGGCGATCATAGGGGCCTCTTGGGCCGTCTTGGGCCGTCGGAAGGCACGCAAAGAGCAATTGCGAACATCGCTCAACAACCGAAGGACAATCAATGATTTTAGCATCTTCGGGTCCTCCTGGAGGACCTTTTCGGAGGCCTCGTGGGCCGTCTGGGAGGTCTCTTGGACACCTCTCGGGCAGTCTTGGGCCGTCTTGAATGCTTCCTGGACGTATTTGGAAGTATCTTGGGCTGGGCCCCCTCAGGCCGTCTTGGAGGCCATCTTGGCCATCTTGGAGGCATCTTTGAGGCCGGCCTGGGCCATCCTGGAGCCGTCTGAAGCCGAAGAACCCTTTGCAGCCACCTTTTGCGCGCCCTTCCGGGTGGCCGGCGGGGCGGGCCGGAGCCCCGGGGGGGGTTCTAAAATAATCGACGCCGAAAGGGTTTAGCACGCCGGGCACCCCGGTGGCAAGCGAAGCCTCTTCGGCGTTTTGGGGTCTTTCTGGTCGTTTGGGAACCCTTCTGGGGGCCTCTTTGGCATTCTTGGGGCGATCTTTGGCGCCTCTTAGCTTTAGGTCGTCGGGAAACCGGAGAAACGAACGCGCCGCAATAAGTAAGAAACCTAATGGAAATCGCTGCCTGCTGTCTCTTGGGCCCCTCGTGGGAGTGCCCCTGGAGGCATCTTGGGGGCCTGCTGTGGGCGTCTTGGGGGCTTGGGGGGTTCTGGGGGGCTTGCTGGCAGGTTCGGGGGTCCGCTTCGGGCGGGGGGTTCGAAATCTCAGTTCAGGTTCCCCGTGTTGGGGTTCTCTTGGGGTCTCTTTTTGGGGCCTTCAGGGGCCGTCTTGGGCGCCCCTTTGGCCGTCTTGGTGCCTTTTTGGGCCGTCCTGGGGCTGTCTTGGGGCGATCTGTGGGGCTTCATGTGCCGTTGTGGGCGCTCTCGAAACCGAGCGGGTGAGTATTCTAACAGTGTGAGTTTCCCCAAGAATTTGGATGATGGTTTGCTCCTTCGCGCCTTCTTCAGGATGCTCTTGGGGCTCTCTTGATTCTGCTGCGAAGACTCATTGATGCTGCTTTGGAGGACAAGTATGGGAAACTCTTCGTGCTGTTGCTAGACTGGAGCAAAATTTTTGGTCGTATCAGACCAGCGGGGCTACTGTTCGCACTCCGCCACTTTCGAGTGCCACCCGCCATGTTGAACATGATTGCCGCGATTTTTATGGCGCGCGCGTTTGTCGTCAAAGATGGGGCAACCACATCGCAGCAACAATGATCAACAGGCTGGAATTGCACAAGGTTGTCCTTTATCTTTCTACCTGTTCGTAATCGTTGTGTCGGTGCTCCTTGAGGCCGTCGACAAGGACATTCACGCGCGGCCGGGCCCTTTCAAGGACGCGCCGTCTGTGGTCACGAATGACGTGCTTCATGCCGACGACGCGCTGCTCGTGGCACATTGTCTGGAGTCACTTCAGAGGCATCTCAATATCGTGTCAAACATTGGGGAATCTTTTGGGCTCGACTTGAACGCTGACAAAACATTATGATTGAAAAGCGGATCGGCTGCTACGGTTGCGGGGCCGAATGGAGAATCAATCCAATCTAAAGGCAACGTTGTTTATCTTGGTGGTCTCTTAAGCGCAGATGGTTGGCCCAACTGTGAAATTGCGAGCCGTCTCGGAAAAGCAAAAGGGGCATTTGACAAATGATGTGGTGCTTGGAACCACGCAAACATGACCACACAGCACAAGCTACGAGCGCTGCGCGCTTGCGTTTTGTTTGTTTGTTTGTTCCCCCCCCCTCTCCCACAAATTATCGTATGGGCTGGAATCTTGCGTATTAGTGCACGCGGACAAAAACAGACTGGATGGATTTCAAGCCAAATGCTTCGCAGAGTATTGAAGACCCAGCCGGCAGTTTTACCCGTCATCAGCAATGGGCGCGTGCGGCTTGAAACACATCTCCTCCATTGTCAATGATATCATCGGAGAGGCAGCTTGAATTCTATGGGAAATTCGCAAGGGCACCTTCGCAATCGCTGCCGAAAACAATGGTTTTCCAGACCGGCGAGGCGCGCTTTTTGATGCCACGGGAATGGCGGTTTCTGAAGAATCGCGGCAGACCGCGCTTGCAATGGACCAGCTACATGCACGTTTGCGCGCTGAGAGTCGCAGAAGACGGCCCCGACCGCTTGCAGATTCAATTGGATTGTTCACCGTGGGAATGGGATGCAGTTGTCAAAGAATTTTGGAAACACCTCAGTGTGACTGCGATGAGCTTCCTCGCTTTTCCCGTTCGCCTCCCTCCTCCCTCTCCCCTCCCCGCCCCCCCCGCCCTCTTCAGGCGGAATGTTGCTGCTTGCCCCCGCGCGCCATTTGCACAAAGCTTGCAAGTGGTGGCCGGCCGATGCTCAGGGACATTTTCCTCCTATGCATGTGCACATCGCCTGCCGATGCACCGTCCGGGCGCGGCTCTTTGTTGTTGTTTTGGAGCTCTCTTGGGAAGTCTTGGGTGCTTGTGTGGTCGTCTGGAGGCCATCTTGCGCGTCTTGTGATCTTGAAACTACTTGGGGCCCTCGTTGGCCATTGTGGGGGCTTGCTGGAGCTATCAGGGTTTGTTTTTGGGTCTCCCCCAAGCGGGGTTGGCCGACGCGAGCGATTTTGGCAGACCCCAGGCCGGCCCGAGAAACCATTGGTTCAGGCCTTTAGAGAGTTAGAATTTTGGCTGCAGCAGCAACGCAAGCGTTTCAGTGCTGCGTGAGTCTTTGGTCAGTCCACGTCGTGCCAGGGCCACGGTGGCGGATTTTGCGTCACCTATGAAGATTTAACTTCGTGTGTGTATTTCGTATGTATGCACACGTCGCGTTGCAGACAGGGCGTCGCCCTCGAAACATTGAAAAATTGTATATCTGCCTCGGCGGACGGTGGTGGAAGGCTCGCGTAAGGCAGCTGACGTCAAACCAAGGTGCTGGTGCCGGCGGGAGCTGGCGGGAGGCCGGCGAACATTGGCGGATGTAGAAAACCGTCCCCGAGAGTTGTCAATTAAATTGTCGGCGCCTACATCGGTAAACCTCGCTCGCTCGAGGTCGAGCGATTCACACGGTGTCAGAGAGTTAGGGACCACCGCGCAACTTCGTCACGGCACAAGCCCGGCCATATCCATATCCGCAGATTCGGAGGCGTGACCCTGGGAGGATGCCTCAGGCGTTCGTTGGGCATCACTAGCATTTCCCAACGCCCTGCTGGGATCGGAGCGGGGGTTGCTAAAGGGGCGCGGGGGGGTCTCAGTGGATGCCAAAGTGGGTCGTATCTGACGGGGGTATAGCAAATCCCTCTAAGCCAACCGGGGAATTTGTAATCCACATATAGACTATGTTAGGCCGAACATGACCCAACTTGGCTTCTACTGATTACCTCCCCATCCCCTGTGCGCCCCCCGCGCCGATCTCAACGATCCGCGAGATCCGCTGGGGCACGCCTCCATCGTTCAGAAGAGGGCGATTTGAGACAGCGGTAGTTTGCTTTCGGGGCGCCCCCTCGTTGCTGCGGCTTGACGCAGCTCGGACAACTTGTGTGTGTGTGTGTGTGCCCCGGGAGGGGTCCAGGGACCAGATTTTGAGCTGCGGTTGTCTGAGCCCGCCTTGCTCCGAAAAGCGGCGGGTGTGGACGGATCCTCGGCGTGGGTGCAGGGAACTGGTCGTTCGAGAAGAAGTCCTGGTGCTGCGTCCACACGGGCCAGGCGCGGAGCGCGGAAGCTCGCTCCAGCCCCCCTGCTTCCCTTTCCTCGTGCCGTTCCCCTTTCGCAGAGGGGGGATCCCGCCCGGCTCGGCCTCGCAGAGAAGGAGCCTGCATCCGGGGGGGGCTCGACACGCTGCCCTTCCCAAGCAGCCCCTGCGTGTCCTGTTGTTGCCAGTCTCGCCCCTCCCCTCCCCTGCGCCCGCTCTTTCCCCTCCCTCGAGTGATCAGAAGCGGCAGGAACGTAAACTTTCGGAGGTGTGCACGGGTTTCCTGGGTCGGCGCTGGACCCCCTTGCTTGGCGCGCGGAACGCGCCAGGGGCGGCGCCAGTGGCGCCGCCAGGGGGGCCAAATGCCGATCCAAGACATCCGCGCGGGTCTCGGAAAGTAGATGTTTATGCAGTTGTTTCTTCTTCTTCCTCTCATTATTATTCCTCTTCTTCTGCCTCGACCTATATCGATACACACACACACACGCACACGCACACGCACACGCACACGCACACGCACACGCACACGCACACGCACACGCACACGCACACGCACACGCACACGCACACGCGCACGCGCACGCGCACGCGCACGCGCACGCACGCACGCACGCCCACACGAACACGAACACGAACACGAACACGAACACGAACACGAACACGAACACGAACACGAACACGAACACGAACACAAACACAAACACAATCACAATCACAATCAAAAACACAAACACAAACACAAACACAAGCACACATACAAACACACAACCACGAACACGATCACGAACACGAGCATGAACACGAACACGAACACGAGCACGAACACGAACACGAACACGAACACGAACACGAACACGAGTATGAATATGAGCACGAGCACGAGCACGAGCACAAACACAAACACAAACACAAACAGAAACACACACACACAAACACGGTTTTTTATGTTGGCGGCTGGGCAGAATGACTGCGCTGTCGGATGTCGTTAGAAAGCACGAGCGCGAATTAGGCCGCGCGCGCGAGGGGGGAGGAGGATGAGGACGCCCAGCGGTGGCGGGAGGGAGACGGAGGCCGAGCCCGCTCAGAGCAGGGTCAGGCGCGTGGCCGGGCAGCGCCGGGAGTGGGGACCAGCAGCAGCGGGGCGGCAGCTGGGGGGGCGGCGTGGCAGGCTGCCAGGCAGCAAGCTGTGCTGGAGGGCAGTGCCCAGCAAAAGCTGGAGGCGAAGGTGTGCACGCAGCGCCAAGGGCCAGCGGGTGCCGAGGTCACGTGAGCCGCACGTTAGCACGTGGGCCAGCGGCGACCAGTAGGAGACCGTCTCGATGTGAGGGTTCGGCCTGGAAACCAGGCACAGCAAAGGCGGGCGGGGCGGGGCGCAGGCGGCAGAATCAGCCCAGGCGTCAAGGCGGGGCGGAGGCGTGGCCGGAGGGCCACAGGCGGTCCCGAACTGATCGAGGGCCGCGGGGGAGAAACAACGAGCCTGTGCCCGTACAGATACCCATCGCGCCGAGGGGAGCCGAGGTCACCCGTGACCTGCGGGGCGACTCGGGGCGGCGGCCAAAGCAGACCACCTCCAGAGGCGGAGGGCCGGCCTGACGCCAGGCAGGGCCGAGAGAAGCGAGGGGGGGGAGGCAAGGGCGCCACGGCCATCCCCAGTGCAGGCAGAGACGGCAGAGGGCCGCCGAGGCCGGCGGAGCAGGAGGCGCTGTGGGGGGGGCACCGAACAGGTGCACGACGAGGCAAAGAGACCCTCAGCGAGGGAGCTAATGAGGGGTACGCCAGAGCGGCCCGCCCGGCATCGGAATCTGGCGTGGCCAGGCTGGGGCGCGCCCCGGAAGACGACGCCCGTCGACCTCGAGCGAGGGAGGATGAAAAATCGGCCGTGGGGAAGGGGTCGACCCTTCCGGGGACCCCGTGCTGAAAAAAACGCGACATCGGATCTCTGGGGACCTGAGCGTCGCATTTTCTCGCGCCGGGCGACTTTGCCCTGTCTCGAGCCCCGGTACCCTCACAGATCGATCCAGCTCGAACAAATGCAGCATCGAAATGTCGCAATTTTCCAAGATGCTGCATTTTATTTCAGAGTTGGATCTCGATGTTAGAGCGTTTTCTGCAGCGTTCTGGAGCGGCCACGCCGCCCCATACATTCTTCATTGGGATCGGCGGGGGGCTGTTGCTAAGGGGATAGGGGGGTTATCAGTGGATGCCAAGGTCCAGGCGCCCTTACCAGGCTGTGGGGCAGTCAGAAAGGGTCCCGGGATGAAGAACCGGCCCTTCTGAAAGGGTCGGGATTTCCGTGGGTCCCGTATTGAAAACGTCAAGACGTCGAATGTCGGGGCCCAGACCCTTTTCCCCAGGACCAGTTTTTCATCCCGAGTCGCTTTTTGACGGTCCCGAGGGCTGGTGGGGCCCCCCCCAAGGCCGAAGATAGCAAAAACCTTTCGTCATGAATTCCCAACCTTCCTGTGGTGTTGGTCCTCGTTTTGAAGATCACCGCGCACGAAACCACCCCAGACCAACCCGAGGGCCCCGACTTGCCTTCATTTCCAGTGGGGGGGGTGCTCGGGGAACATGGAAAAAACACACATGGAGCCCGTAGCCCCCCCAATCCGAAATTCGTGTCTTCGGGTTGGGTTGGGGTCTTAGTTGCCTCGATACGCCCGTTTTGAAACGCAATACGTCCCGTGTTCGAGACGTCCGTGTCAATACGTTGCGTGTTGGTTCCACGTATTGGGCCACGTTTTGGCGAATGTATCGCGTCGGGCCTACGTTTTCAGCCTACGTGCTGAGCTCCGTATCGATACGCTACGTGTTGCGTGTTGCGTATCGGGGCAACTTAGGTTGGGGTGCTTTGGTTGGCGGCCAGAAGAGACATCGAGTGCCGGGGCCCGCCCCGCCTGTCTCCCCCCCCCTCGGGAACTTGGAGGTCGTCGGGGAGAGAGGCAGTGCTTGAACGCTCCGCGCCAGGGCTGCCCGCCGCGGACCTCGCTCCCGTTCGACTGCTACGCCGGCGCAGAGAGTGCCTGGAAAGAGGACAAGGCCCGAAGAAGAGACGACGGCAGAAACATCATGAGGAAAGGAGGGAATCGGCGGGGCGGTGAAGGAGTTTTCGGAGGACTTCGAAAGTTTTCGGGGGTTGTCGATACTTGGGTTGGTTTCCATCGGCTGCGCCTCCTCGAGGGCGTTCCCGGGGTGCCGGAATCGTCCCGAACGGCCGCTGGAGAGCCGAGTTATGGCCCGCAAACCAAGGAGCACCTTGGAGCTCCGCGTGGATTTCTTCGATCTCCGCTGGGCCCCCCTGGCAGCGCCTCTGGCGGCACCCCTGGCGCGCTCCGCGCCTCCGCGCGCCAGGTAGGGAGGCCCAGCGCCGATTCAGGCATTCCGAGTGGACCTCCGAAAGTTTATCGAGAAGGGTAACGTTTATTCTACAGGCTTGCGCCTCATTCGCCGAACTCTTCGAATCGCTGCAGTGTGCCTGGAGATTCACTCGGGTCGGGTCGGGGGGGCGCCACGAGAGGAGGAAGAGGAGGAGGAGGAGGAGGAGGAGGAGGAGGAAGAGGAGGAGGAGGAGGAGGAGGAGGAGGAGGAGGAGGAGGAGGAGGAGGAGGAGGATGGTGAGGCAGTGTGGGATGCCTCTGGGGCATCATCTTCGGGCTTCTGTGGGTCTCATCAGGGCCTGCAGGGCGCTCGCTGGCGGCCACGGAGCACTCTTGCGGCGAAGAGTTCGGGCAGTCAGTTCGCGTCATGGCCCTCTCTTGGGGTCCTTCCAGGCCATCCCGGGGTGACCGTGACGGCCTTTTGGGCCGTTGTGGACGTTGTGAAAGCCCAAGAGCGGAATCTGCTACACACAAGCGTCTTCCGACGGGAATGGGACGATTGCTGCATTTTGGGACTCTTGGAGGGGTGCTCTTGGAGGCTTGGAACGTGTCGGACGCCTCGTGAGCGTTCTGGGCCGACCTCTCGGCGGCTCGGCGGAACCTTCTTGGACCGTGTTTGGTGTCTTTGGGGCCGTCTACGAACTGCCAGCAATCACGACAAGAACCTGGCTTCGCCCAGGATGTGTTCCCGTGTGGGTCGTCCTGGGGCCATGGGTGGGGGAGGTGAAAGTCTCTGTTTGGTGTCGCTGGGGGGAGGATTGGTGTGTGTGTGTGTGTGTGTGGGGGCAATTTCACATGTCTGGAAACCCACAAGTGCTTGGCGGATTCGAGTAAGCTTCGGGCTGGGGTTTGGGTTGACAGTTCGGGGGGCCTACAGCTCAGAGCTGTTGAATTGCCAAAGGTTGGGGATCCCTCCTTCCGCATCTTCCTTATTCTCTTCGACCACTTGGTAGCACATCCTGTGAGTCCTGTGTAGCTTGGCAGTCCGTCTTCAAAGTGCAGCAGCGTCAAGCAGCGTACGGCAAGCGAAGAGTCTGCGCTGATGTAGCGTCGATTCAGCGTCGAGTCGCGTCGAAGTAGCGTTGTCAAGCGTCACTTCGGACGGGCCATCCAGATGGCATGGGAGGGGGCCGCGCTTTGCTGCGCACGGGTGTCGCCGCTGCGTTATACTCCTCGACTGGCGATGCGGGCCCCGAAAGCGGAAGCAAAGCCGCTGACCTGTTGCGAGCCAGGTTGCGGGGAAATTTTTTGGGACACGATGCAGCTGAAGCTGGAGCAGGTGGAGGAGCATCGGAGAAAGAGAAACACCAGGGCGGTCTGTGAAGCGTGTGACAATTTGGGCGTAACCGCGAAGGGAGTAGCCGATGCGGCGAAACGGTTGACGCGACAGTTGACGTGCGCAGCGTGGGAGAACGAGTGCGACAGACAGGAGTGTTATCACTCCAACAAGGAAGAGAGTAAGGTTGAATGCGCGGGTTGCAAAGCCCTCGGGTTCACGGCGCGGATTCGGCAAGCGAGCGAGTGATTCGGCACTCGCAAGAGGAGACTGCCGACATCTCAGCTCGTCGTTGGACCGAATTTCGCGCGGTCTCGCCAGAACGGCACCCTGAAGTGCAATCCGTGAGACCCGCTGCAGCGCTTCTGGCAGCGCGCGAATGCTCGGGGCCCCAGGCGGAACAGGAGGAGAAGGGGGATGTGGGGGTTGAGGAGCAGGAGGAGGAGGAGGAAGAGGGCGAGGAGGAGGAACGATCAGAATCTGTTCTTGGGGCCTTAATTGAGAGGCCTCCGGTGACCGTTCTGAAAGAGTTCGGCGCCCCTGGAACGTTTCCCACCCTGGATCTGGAGACCCTGTGCGGGCTCGTGGACTGAAATCTTTCATGGCCTTCGGTCCATCCTGGCATGGTTTTGGGTCCGAGTCTCAGGATGATTCGTGGCTCCTCTTTGGAGTTCTCTCGGTGGCTAGGGGAGGCTTAGTGTCAGAGTCCCGAGGGATGTTCCGTGAGGTCACTATATTTGCCGCGGCTGACATTCTCAGTGTTCGCAGCGCACGCATGGGGAAACTTGCGAAAACCAGCGTTCACAGATGGCGGGCATCTGTCAAAACGCCAGAGGAATGATCATCGCAGGGCCGTCGGCCCATCCCGCCACTTGGCCTGGCTTGTGGGTCGGGGGCCGTTCGGATGGCTGATGGGGTCTCGTGTATATAAAAGGCTTTCGGGGGCGTCATGGAGGCGGTCGTTGGGCTTCTTGGGGGCTCTTGGGGGCCTCTTGGGGTCTCTTGGGTGATTTTGGGGGCAACCTGGGGGCGTCTTGGGGCCGAATGCTCGAAGTTTCCGTCCGGTTTTACCTTCTGGGCCCCCTCCTGGAGCCGTCCCGGGGTTCTCTTGGACCGTTTTGGGGGTTTTCTTGGCCGAATTGGCCGTTGCGGAGCATTTTTGGGCCGTCTTGGAGTCCAGTTCGGCGCCATTTGTGCAGGCTTGGACGTATGAAGTCCGAAGAGGCGAACATGCAAAACGTGTACGTTTTCCGGAACGGATGGGACGATGTTTGCTTTTGTGGGGCCCTCTTGGGAGGCATTTAGGAGACCTTTTGGGGCGTCTTGGAGGCATTTTGGGCCGTCGGGAGGCCATCGCGGGCGTCTTGGAACAACCTGTCGGCGACCCAGGGCCCTTTTGGATCGTCTTGGGGGCCTCTTGGGAGGCTTCAGGGGCCGCTTCGGAGCTCCAGAGGGAGCCCATGGAGGGCCAGACCTCCCCTGGTGATTTTTGGGGGTGGTCACCCGGGGCCCCTGGTGAGTTCGTGGGGGAAACCACCAGGGGTCGGGGGCGGGGGGTCAACTTCCTTGCTTGGGGTGCCAAGGGGGGGAAGATTATTGGCTGTCCTCATGCTCCTCGCTATCCTCACGTTCTCCACGTCGTCCTTGTCACCGCCTCCTCGTCGCCCTCGCCTTCCTGTTATTCTTCTTCTTCTTCTTCTTCTCTTTATCATTATTCTTCTTCTTCTTTTTCATCTTCTTTGTCATCTTCGCCCACCAAGCCCATTGTACTAAAGCTGCGCTTCCCGTTCTTGTCCGATCAGGTTGGGGTGGAAGAATCTCACACGCCTGGAGACCCACAAGGGGTCGGCGGATTTCCATGCAACTTTGGCAGATGGAGGGGCAGGGGCAAATCATTGCAATGCGGACACGTCTGGGACATTCTGGCACTTGCGTCGAGTCATGTGTGTCCCTCTGGTCTCCTTATTGTACCTCCCCGAAAGTTCATGTGTATGCCGTCTCTTCTTCCTCTGAAGGCGGAGTGGTGCTGCTACCACCAGGGCGTGGGCTGCCCGTCCACGACCTCGCTGGCCTTCGACTGCTACAAGGACTTTGACAGGCGGGTCTGGGTCAAACCTTTAAAGGGGAGATTTCGCGCTCGGGCGCATTGCGCAGGGTTCTGCCGATATCGACGCGGGGGTTGCTAAGGTAATAGGGAGTTATCAGTGGGTGCCAAAGTGTGTCAGATCTGGCCTAACCTAGCTTATGAGTGGGATACACATGCCCTACATGGTTTAGGGGGCTATCGATCCGGGCTGCCACTTAGCAGATATATCTAACCACCTAAGCCACGTGGGACACTTGTGCTCCACTTATCAACTAGGTTGGGCCAGATATAACCCACCTTGGCATCTAGTGATACACTCCTTTATCCCCCTAGCAACCCCCGCGCCGATCCCAGTAGGGGCCAGGATGCGATCTATCGATGAGACATAGCAGGGGGTATTGATCTCGTCCGCAGGTGGCAGACCGACTGGTCAAATGCGAAGAAGCTGTTTTGCTGCGACATGTTCGACATGGGCTGCAACCGCACGGAACCCTCGGCTCCGTTCGATTGCTTCGCTGGCCTGAACAATTGGGAAAAAGGCTGGTCGATCGAGAAGAAACAGTGGTGCTGCCAGTTCACGCGCAAGGGGTGCCCGCAGCCCACCTCGAATCCGTACGACTGCTTCGAGGACTTTGAGCAGTGGGACTCGAAATGGTCTACACCGAAGAAGGATGGGCGACTGAAAATCACCCCCGCCTCGCACTGAATTTGAGAGCTTGTTGCCCAAGCCGTGCTTGCACTAAGGGGTTATTGCTTTCTGGCTTTCGCATCCGTAGCCAGCGCTTCCCAAGAGGGCCCCGAGAAGCATCTGGCGGCCTCCGCCGAAGGTGTTCCGGCTGCTCCCGCCTGGGGCATCCCCGCAATTCCACTCCTGGTGGGCGCTCCATTGGCGTCTCGTGGCCGCCTCGTCGCCGCCCCGCTCGGTGCAAATGCCAACATACCATCCAGACCCCGTGTCGACGCCATCCCCGCATTCTGGTCGAATCTTTCTCTGCGGTGCGCATGCGTTGATCTAGTATGTGTGAGTGCTTGCGCGTTGTTGTCTCGAATGCTTCCCGTCTTCCACTGACACCTCGGCTCTAAGTGCATGAGCGGGGGGCCGGTCCATGGTCCCCGGTGCCAGCGACGCGCTGGCGGTCGGGGCGGCCGGTGGGCGTGCTGGCGGCTTGGGCGGGCCTGCGGCTGCTGGGCGGGTGGCTGGCGGCGGTCGTGGCAGCCTTGACGAGCTGCCCAGCCTGCGTGTGCCACGCGCCCGTCTGGCCGCCCGCGCCGCCCCCGCCGCCGCCGCCGTCGCCGCCCGCGCCCGGCGCGGCTGGCTTTGCGGCGGTGGTGGCCCTGGAGCTGGGGCCGTGGCTGACGAAGAGCTCGCCAGCGCCCGCCATCTGCCCCACTGGCGGAAGTGGCGGAGGCGGTGGTCAACTGGCTGCCGCCCGCGCCGGGGCCGCCAAGCCCCTCTGAGGCGGCGCCGCCCGAGGCCGGCCCGGCCCTGGAGGCGTCTGAAGAGCTGACGTGGGTCGCGTGGGGCGTCGCACCGGGAGAGTGTATCTTGCTGGTGGTGTGCTGCGCGGCGGGCTGCCAGCGACGTCATGCTAGCGCCCTTCCATCGGCGACGGGGCCGCCCTGTGGTCGAGCGGGGCCGCCGGCGAGGTGGCAAAATGGTTTGCTGAGCTGAGGCCAGCTCCGACTTGGGCTCTCCTACCCTCGGGACGCGGTGTGGCATGAGAGGCTGCTGTTGTACCCGCGGGGCGGATACTAGTGGTGGGTCGCTACTCTTGATGACGACGTGTATGCCGAGGACGTGACAGGGCAGGTGGGAGATGGCTGCAGTCGAGCTTTCGCCTGCACAGATGAAGCCGTGGCCCTGGCGGTGGCTCACGGCAGCTTCTACCGTTTCTTCGACCCCGTCAGCGGGCAGCAGCTGCAGCGCTGGATCCTGGAGTCACGGACCCGTTAGAGCGAACACAGCGGCGGAGCCTTGAACGATCTGGTGGAGATGGTGACCTGGGGGGCTCGCGAGTGCTTTTCTCGCGAATGCGTCGCCGACTGCCGCTGCGCTCTGGAGACGGCGGCGCTGCCAGAAGCACGGGCGCCCCGCCCGACGCCGACGCCCATAACGCTGGTGACGCGGTGGTGGTTGCCGATGGTGACGACGCGCCTGCCGCCAGCTCCTCCCGCTCGAGGCGCCCAGAGGCTGTGCCTGGCTGGTTTCCTCCCCTGGAACTGGGGCTCTTGGTCGCGAGGTGTCCCTGGAGTCGGGCGACGTGCGCCTGGACGGGAGCCGCGCGATGATCAGAGGCTCGGCGGGCTGGCAGCTGGTGGAGGCGGTTGCGGCAGGCCCCCAGGCTGGCGCTCTGGGTGCAGCACGACGAGCACGGCGAACGGCGCAAACCCTGGCGCGAAATGGTCCGGAAAGTGCGACGCTACGAGTTCAAGGAGTGGCCGCTGGTGGACGGTCTCTCGACGGTCGAGCACATAACCAAGACGTGAGATAGTGCTGGAGGGTCGCCGCTGCTCTGGCTTGATCTGTGTGCTCGTGATCGTCTGGTTGGCATTGGCGATCGCGCGTTCATTGAGATGCGCTGCTTGCTGTCGGCCATCGCCTGCGCCGGGACGTAGGACCAGCTCAACCTGGCTGGCATGGCGAGCATCGAGTTGCTGTGCAGACGGGTCTCGCAGTTCGTCGCAGCCTACGCGGGGGGCCCTGCCAGGCCGTCCAAGTGGGTCGGGCTTCGCTACTGCGTGGGCGTGGCGAGCCCGATGAACGCGACCGACCCAGCCTTGCGCACCGCGGTCTTCCGCGGGATCGACGAGGAGATGGAGCCGGGGAAGTCAAAGAACCGCGCTGCTGGAGTCCCGCCGCCGAGCCCTCGCGCGCTCGAGGCTGGCGGGGGGCTTCCTGGCGGCGGCGCTGTTGGGGCCGGCGCAGGGCGCGGAGCCGGGCTCGGCGGCGGCCGAGGGCGCGGCGACGTCGGCGGCGGCGAGCGCGCCGCGCCCAACGGGGAGGATGGCCCCCCCGCCCGCGGAGGCGGGCGGCCCGCCGGTTGTGATCAGCCCAAGCGTGTCGTCGGGGTGGATTTCTCAGGGTGTTCCCCCTGCCAATCTGGACGCCCGAGATGGGCGCGGAAAGAATGGGTATGATGCCCAGCGGCAGTTCTTGTTCATTCTGAACAGGACTCGCTGTCCGCGCCGCCGCGGCTTGTGCCTACTCGAGACAGGAGGCCGCCCGCCCAACAGCGGCCGCTCTTGGTTTGGGACAACATTTGTTGTTGGGCATTGTGCCCATTCTTTCCGTGCCCATTTTGGGCGTCCAAATCAGGGCGTTCCCCTGCCAAGGCTTCCTCGCGCTTCGGCCCCCGACGCGCAGCTGCAGTGCCGCTGGGCGCGCCGGCTCGCCGGGCGGGCCCGCCGGGGCTTCAATGGCGCTGTGGGCGTCTTGAATTGGTTTGCGATCCGCGATCGCTCAGACCACGAGCGCAATTTTGATTAGTCCAAGGTGCGCGCGCGGATCTTGGGCGCGGTAGCCGAGAGCATGCTTCAACGGGCTACTGCGCGGCCGCAGTGTCTACGACGAGTCGGCTGGACGGAACGTCGGACGTCTCCGCGACGTGGGGCAGATCTTTGCGTGGGGCCGCGGTGGGAGGGTCGCGGCCGCGAGAGATCGCGCCTGCCTGTGCGCGCCCTCGTCCCATATATGGATATACTCGGATGTTTTCGTTTGAGGAAGATCTTGACGTCGCCCCCCGCTGGGGCCCGCCCCCTGTTCGCAGCGGGAGGCTTTGCGTGCGTCTGGCCAAACTGCGCCACGTGGAGAGGGTGCTGATTTGCCTGAACGAGTCAGAGCGCCGCGAGGAGGTAGGAGTCTTCTTCGTGGCCAAGAAGAGCGACCAGCTGCCTTTCATCGCGTGTGCGCGGGGGAGCAACTTCCTTCTTTCCTCGCCCGGGCGTCCCGCCGCTGGCCGCCGAGGGCGCCGCTCGCGTCGAGGCGGGGCTGGGGGCAGGGGCCGCCGCGGAGGGCCGCGTGTTGGATTTCGCGCTGGGGGCTTCTTTTCCGCCGCTTCCGGGTCGACCGAGAGCGGCCGAGTTTTCACTGCTTGAGGGCCGTCTTGGCAGGCGAATGTGGAACGGCAGGGGCCATGCTGGAGGATGGGCGTCGACTGGCGGCCGACGGCCGGCTGGTTCACGCGCCTGCGCCGCGCGGCAGGCGGACTTCGCTTGGGCGCTGTGCATCTGCTGGGAGTTTGGTGGGGGGCTGGGGTGGGGTCTTCCTGCGGCCAGTTGGGCTTTAGCACGGCCCGGTGGGCATTGGTGGGTGCAGCCCAGAAGTCTCCAGAGCATGCAGATCCTCGAGAACGGAAGAGGCCCCCGTGAAGAGCCACTCGGCACCCCTGACGGGCACCTTGGCCCTCTTGGCCCCCCTGAAGAGCTTTTCTCTCCCATAGGGTTTTCGACAGCTTTGGCGTGCCCGTTTTTCGCGGAGGAGACGGAGGGCGGCGGATCGGGCGTTGCAGCTGTCTCCCCATCACCGTCGCCGCTTCTGCGCTCGAGCCTGTCGGAATGCAGTCCCGGGGGGGGGAGGTTGAGGTTGGCGATGTTTTCCGCGGCCGGCTTTGAAATATTTCACGCTCTTTGCGCGGCGGAGGGCATCTGGGAATAGCGGTGGCCGTCGGCGCCGTGACGTGGCCCGCGCGTTGCCGGGCGGGGGGTGTCCAGCAGTCGGTGCCCACTACTCTGCGCGCTCCAGCCCAATAGCAAAGACTGTGAGTTCTTCGCGCGGCAGTCTGCGTCTTCGAGGAATGGTGGCGACCGCGCTGGCGTCGCTCATGTGGATAATGATGCTGATTAGGATGAGGACGATGGCGATGATGATGACGTTGGTGATGATGCTGACGATGATGATTATGACGAGGATGATGCTGCTGATGATGCTGCTGATGATGATGCTGATGATGATGCTGATGATGATGATGCTGATGATGATGCTGGTGATGCTGGTGCAGCTGCTGCTGATGATAATAACGGTGGTGGTGATGATGGTGGTGGTCATGATGACGATGATGATGATGATGCTGATGATGATGATGATGATGATGATGATGACGAGGATGATGATGATGATGATGCTGATGCTGATGATGATGATGATGATGATGATGATGATGATGATGATGATGATGATGCTGACGGTGAAGCTGACTGCGTCTCCAGTTGGTCCTTTATGCGGCCTCTTTCTTCTGGGCGGGAACGCAGCCTTTCAGGGTTGCCAGGGTTTCCAGAGCTAAGAAAGGAAACGTTATATATATGTGTATATATATATATATATATATATATATATATATATATATATATATATATATATATATATATATTACTTTTTCATTGAATGGCCAGCGCGGGCCGCAGTGGGTCCCACCTGGCCGCGCGCCGGGCCGCAGTAGAACCCATCGGGCCGCGCAGAAGACCAACGGGCCGCGCTAACGACCACTCGCGGGTGGCCGGCCTCGACGAGCGCGTGACTCCCGAGCTTGGGGGGGCCCGCCGCGTGAGTGGCCGCGGCGCCCGGTGTTGCAACCAGGGCAACTTTTGCCTTGGGGCGGGGGCGCCCGGCGCACGCGCGTGGACAGCCTGGGCGCGATGGGCTTCGGCGAGAGGGCCGTCGCCGACGGGTTTTCGTCGGCCTCCGTGCGTTTCGACGCGGCGGGCCTCGGGGCTCACGAGACAAATGTCCAGAGGGGCAGGGGCGTTCGCTTGGTGGCGTGCTGGGCGGCGTGGTCCTGGGCGCCGGGCTGCGGCGGAGCGGTGCTGGCGGGTGCGGCGGGGCCTCGGCTGGGCGCTCGGCTGCCCCGCCCTTCTGGGTGGGTCTGGGAAGTCGTAGTCCCACTGCGCGATGTGCAGTCATGATCAGCTGCCTGCCTTCGACGCCATCTACAAGTTCATCGCCGCCAGCTACAGCAAGGGCGCCGTCTTGTGGGAGAGCGCGCGAGCGGAACTGGTGGCGTTCGAAGGTCTTATGCCGCTGTTGAGAGGCGACTGGTCGCAGACTGCAGGGGGTTGGCGCGGGCTGGGCTCCGGGTGGTCAGGCTTGTGCTTGTTTATTCCATTGTCTCTTTCCTTCGGCTGTTCAGTTGCATCGGGAACGTGGCGCTTGGCGAGATATTCGCGAATGTGCAATCGCTCGCGCAGTTTGACTAGACCGCGCGCGCTCGTCGCTCCCGCGGGCGGTGCTGCGAGATTGCGTCGTGCGGGCTGGTGTCTCAGGTGCGCTTTGGCCGCGGATGCCCAGTCGTCGCATCCCGCTTTTCTCTTCCACTCAGCCCGTCAAGCCTGGTCCCCGTCTCCGTCGGCCCCTGAGTGGATTGCCCGCGAAGGTGTTTCCAGGTTTTTACCCAACAGCGAAGACTGATAGGTTTCTAGTGGTCTCGAAAGAGAGCATCATGACTCCCCAGGGGGTCTGGGCAGATGCCAGACGGGTGCCGCGGGAACCCGGGGACTCCCCAAAACAGTATCCCAGGCCACATTTTGACTGCCCGGAGCCAACAGAACACCATTCTCAGGCCACATTTTGCATGCCTGGAGCCAAATGTAGACCACTTCGTGTTCTTCGTGCTCCCAGAACACCATCCCCAGGCCACATTTTGAATGCCTGGAGCCAACTGTAGGCCATTTCGTGTTCTTCGTCTTCCCAGAACTCCATTCCCGGGCCACATTTTGGATGCCCGGAGCCAACTGTAGGCCACTTCGTGCTTTTCGATTTCCCAGAACTCCATTCCCGGGCCACATTTTGGATGCCCGGAGCCAACTGTAGGCCACTTCGTGCTTTTCGATTTCCCAGAACTCCATTCCCGGGCCACATTTTGAATGCCCGGAGCCAACTGTGGGCCAATTCGTGATCTTCGTGTTCCCAGAACGCAAGTCCTGTGCCATATTTTGAATGCCCGAGCTGAGGCAGGCTGAGGCCGAGGCACGCTGAGGCCGAGGCAGGCTGAGGCTGAGGCTGAGGCACGCCGAGGCAGGCTGAGGCTGAGGCTGAGGCAGGCTGAGGCTGAGGCAGGCTGAGGCTGAGGCTGACGCAGGCTGAGGCCGAGGCAGGCTGAGGCTGAGGCTGAGGCAGGCTGAGGCTGAGGCAGGCTGAGACTGAGGCTGAGGCTGAGGCTGAGGCTGATGCAGGCTGAGGCTGACAGGCTGACGCTGAGGCTGAGGCAGGCTGAGGCTGAGGCTGAAGCCGAGGCAGGCTGAGGCTGAGGCTGAGGCAAGCCGAGGCAGGCTGAGGCTGAGGCTGAAGCTGAGGCAGGCTGAGGCTGAGGCTGTGGCTGAGGCTGAGGCAATCTGCGGCTGAGGCAGCCTGAGGCTGAGGCTGAGGCTGAGGCTGAGGCTGAGGCTGAGGCTGAGGCTGAGGCTGAGGCTGAGGCAGGCTGAGGCTGAGGCTGAGGCTGATGCTGAGGCAGGCTGAGGCTGAGACAGGCTGAGGCTGAGGCTGAGGCAGGCTGAGGCTGAGGCAGGCTGAGGCTGAGGCCGAGGCAGGCTCAGGCCGAGACAGGCTGAGGCTGAGACTGAGGCTGAGGCTGAGGATGAGGCCGAGGCAGGCCGAAGCTGAGACAAGGTGAGGCTGAATGGGGGGGGGGGGGGGGGGGGAGGAGGGGAGGCTGAGGCAGGCTGAGGCCGAGGCAGGCTGAGGCCGAGGCAGGCTGAGGCTGAGGCTGAGGCAAGCCGAGGCAGGCTGAGGCTGAGGCTGAGGCTGAGGCTGAGGCTGAGGCTGAGGCAGGCTGAGGCTGAGGCAGGCTGAGGCTGAGGCTGACGCAGGCTGAGGCCGAGGCAGGCTGAGGCTGAGGCTGAGGCAGGCTGAGGCTGAGGCCGAGACAGGCTGAGGCTGAGGCTGAGGCGAGCCGAGGCAGGCTGAGGCAGGCTGAAACTGAGGCAGG